GATACTGTTCCGCGTTCCGCTGAAGTGAATCGTGAATCGCGTTCCGTAGGCAAGAGTGGCGATTCAGTTCCGTTCTCGCGCTCGCGAAACAGCTCTAGTTGTCACTGAACTGCTGGGATCAGCTTGTGAATTTGACTCTTAGTTTTTATTAGCCTACTTGAAATGAAAGTATGAGTCTTTTTCACCTTATAATTTTTAATAAACACTTTCAACTCACGCAGTGCTCAAAGTGCAAAATCCTCCGTCCCCATGTAGCCTACCAGGATGCAGATAGCGTACATCACCCTTATACTGTACATGTATCTGGGAAAAAATACCCTAGTCATCGTGAAATTTTTATCACATTGAGAATAATTAAACATCGCCTGCATGTTCATCAAAAAAAAGTAATTTGTTGTTGAAATGGAATCTAAAATAAGGCCGTATGGCTATTCGGACTCAAGCTCAAATGCACGTGCGCAATCACTAGGTGTACGAGATGTGAAGCAGACAAGCAATTCGACCTTGGCCCTCCTCGGTTTCTATGATCTGGCCAAGGAACTTACAACAAATGGACGCCGACCGTGGTGACCCAGTGCAAACTGTGGCCTTTTCTTTACGAAGGATAATATAATAGTAGGGCTGGGCAGTGGGCAACGGTATGGGAGGGAATATAGATCTATATATTAAAAAAAAGGGGTGAAGATGGTGGGGCATGCCTGGGGAAGTAAGATGGAGAGAGAAAAAGTAAGAGAAAGAGAGATAGGAAAAGTAAGAGAAAGAGAGAGAGGAAAAGTAAGAGAAAGAGAGAGAAGAAAAGTAAGAGAGAGAGAGAAAGGGGAGAGGGGGGGGGCTGTCAAGTCTTATAAGGACTGATTATGAATTTATGTTTTGATCCCTTTGTAGTCGTGAAAAGCAGTTTATAGCCTAACAGTAGTTTAAAGTCCGAATAGCAACGGGAGATTATTTGGACTCGAGTATAGACGTCGCTTACGGTTCAACCGGTGATGGCTCACACACACTGAAATTTGAGTCCGAATAGCCTCCAGCGGATGTTTGGGCTCGAGTCCGAATAGCCACTTCACTAAAATAATTGTTTGATCTAACATATTCATCACCTGAATCTTCGTCATGGCATCAGTGTAAAGTAGCACTATAAATGCTAGGTCTGGTCTACTCGACATTTAACCCCCCAAAATCCACTGCAACTGTAAACTAACAGATTAAGATAAGATAAGATAAGATACTTCTTTATTGTCCAGATCCTGGCACATTGGTTTGGTGTTTCACCACGTGTACACACACACACACAAACACACACGCAGACACGTGCTCACACATGCACACACACGAAGGCTTACAATCACATGCATATATAAATGAGCAGCAATATAAACTGTGCACATATACCTAAAAGGAGATCATTCCTACAACGTGTTTTGCTTTACACCGTAGCGGATCGGCGGCCCGTGGGGGCAAGGTGTTAAAAGATGGTACATCCATGAAGTTTCTGAGTTTCACAAGATAATCATTATTCATTATAATAAAAGAAGTACTTGTATATATATACCCTATGAAACTTTTAACTTTATACAGTGCAGCCTCTCTATAACAACATTGTCCGGACCAGAAACAGATGTCGTTATAAGAGAGTTGTCGTTATAGAGAGGCAACTGAAAATTTCAAATGAAATAAATAAGGAAAAAAACAGGACCTGGCCCATGTCGTTATATAGAGCATCGATGTCGTTGAATCGAAGGTTACTCTAGGGAGGTTGCACTGTATTTCTATTTTAGCACATACTGTGAACCGCATTTGAGTGTTCCAAAATTGGTCACATTTTTATTTTTTGTCCAACCCAGTTGAGGCTGTCTCATTAACATGACAAGCAACATGCTTTGTCAGGCAGTAGGGGTTTATGTTGAAAATTTGAAAGAGTTTTAGATTTCATGTTTCTATTTAAAAATGCTATCTCTAGATTTGTCCAACTGTCTTTTTTTACCTCACTGCCATGCATTATTTTATTAAAACACATATTTAAAATTTGTTTTTTCTCATGACATTTAAGTTAAAATTTGGTCAGATTAATTACATGCAGTTATTTTGTTGTTAGAAATAGAAAACCAAGAAAACTTTGTCAGCGTAATTTATTCATTTATTTAAAATATTGTGTTGGATTTTCTTTCTTTCAGGTAATATCTGCAGATCCACAATGGCAGAAGGTGTCTTTGAGCATCTTGTAGAGCAAAATGGCACAAAGGGACAGGTATAATCTGTTACTTTGTTGTTACTTTTTCCTGTGAATTTGTACAACGAAAAAAATCTGATGTCAGTTAACTTTGTAAATGGTGTCACTTGTAATTTTTTAAATCCTCAATGAAGTAAGTGATAAATGAATTCCTTAACTCTAGCAAGCCACTCCTTGCGGCTTGCAGCCGGAACCTCTGCCAGTGAACTGCTGGCAGCGACTTTGGTGTTTAATTAATTTTCAGTAATTGCGGAAAGCAGGTCTCTAGCTTTTACTGGGAGTCCGAGATCTTTCTTTAGATGAAGAACTATCAAAATGGTTCCATTTTTTTTTATTTAATTATCAATTTTGTGTCAAAGTATGTTTCTCTCAGGTTTTGTTGCAAAAGAGTGCCCGTGCATAATAAGGAAAACCCTCTGGAAATAAATTTATGAAGAGTTGAGGACAATACCACATAGTTATTTTATTATCCTTTTAAAAAAATTAAAAAGTAAAAAGTTCATTATCCTTAGAGCATGGCACACACATTCACATACATACGCAAGAATTTTTGCTTCCTATATAAAATTCTGAGTATTGATTACTTCTTGTTTCGCGAGCTTCTTTTGTTGTTAATGTATTTAAATATTGCAGTCAGTGTTATTCCCAGACATCTTTGGTGTCCATGGCATAGTTGCATTCTAAAAATTTAAGTTTGAATTTGTGTGGGAGGCTATTCTATCTAATTTCTCAGTTGATCTGCTCCTGTGTCTTACTCGTAACCCATCCCAGGTTAACCCTTATGGTTAGGGTCGAAGCAGGATGCTGCCTTTTAAATAGTCTGAATTATGTTTCTGAGATATTAAGAAGCATGAATAGTTTTACGACAAACTGTGTTATGTCCTCTTTTTCTATATTGAGAAAACAAAGATTTCTATTCTTCACCTTTAGCGTGCTCATATGACCTTATACTACAGAGTTGCGAGCAGATAAAGCAATGTTGAACCATGATCGCTGATGTCTGCTTCAGGTCTAGCGCTTCATGTTGATGAAAATTATTTTAGTTACTTCTTTAGCTTTGCTCAGCTGTTTGTGAAACAAGAAGGAATTGCAGGAAAGGCACAAAATGATCTGCTACTTTTGTTACACTCTCTGTTTGTTTGTTTCTATTGATCTGATAGTGGAAGATCGACAGTGCTGGCACCGGTGACTGGCACATTGGATGCCCTCCCGACTCAAGGACCATGAAAGTTCTTCAGAAGAATGGAATTTGCAATTACAAACATTCTGGAAGACTTGTGAGTGTATTGTATATTTTGTCTTGTTGCCATTAAAGCCTACTTTGTTTGCTGAGAGGTAGTTTGACTTGTGTATGACTTTTGTGTCAAATATTTGGTGTGTTGCAATAAATGAATTTTTTTTAGTACAAAATGATTACTCCTGTTAATGGAATTCACATAAACTTCACAGCATTACATGGCAGGATAAATTTCCTAACCACCCCCCCTCCCTTCCCCGTACAATCTCTTAATGAGATATTGTGTATTAAAAATTGGATATTTAGAGGGCTTTTAGATGTCTGAGCCCAAGACAGAGAAGGGGAAGGAAGGGTAGAGATAGTAAGAAAGAAAAGAAAGATAGATTGGGACAGGGAGTGAGAGAGAGAGAGAGAGTTTGCATTTTTGCCCATGAACTGTGTCACATTTGTGATGTCTTGCATTCAGTAAAGAATCATGAGAGCTCATATTATATGAACTTTTTTTAAAGTTGTAAGGGAGATGCGCTTCTTGTTTGTGTAATAGGCATTCGAAATCTATAGCTATGATTTCTACTCTTTATGCTGTGGACTTTGAGTGTAAAGAAATTAGAAGGTGAAAGGTATTTTTAGAAGCTTTAGAAGAAGGAAGAGAAAATGGGAGAGGAGTCATGTTTTTTTACTTTTTTTTGTGTCATATCCAGATCACAGTTGAAGACTTCACAAGTTTCGACTACATTTTTGGAATGGATCATCAGAACATTGAGTAAGTTTGTACGAAATGTTTTAATAACTTTATAATATACAGTGAGTTAAGCAGGAATAACTGATAATTCAAACACATCAGGGATGACAGAATATGTTCAACACATCTGTGATGTAGATAATCTGTAAAAACACCCCAAAAATTTAAAATATTAGTGTGTGTGTGTGAGAGGGGGGGGGGGGGGGGG